GGAAATTTTATTATTTTATATAAATATATAAAAAGTATTATACTTGACATAATTTGTGTTGCAAGCTTGTAATTATAACTAAGTATTCAATATGAATAACAATAATAGTGTAAAAAATTCTGATTTAACAACAAAACAACAAAATTTTGATTCGAAAAGGTGAAAAAAATTTAAGAAAATATTACTCTTCTGAAATAGCAAAAATTGAGAGGTGTGAGATTGGAGGAGTCTAAAGGTCTTCAACTCCCCCAAACTCACCACCACCCCGATTCCCCAACCAAAGACACAACACTCCCTTACTTTCCTCAAAACCCCTCCTACCCAACAAAGGCTAAGAGACCTGTCTCTGCTAACATATAAGAGACAATTCATGTTAACTAAGAGCTTACTCGTTGTCTATCAATTTGGGATCTTCTCAATGATAATGTGCCAAATGGTTTTAATGCTTTTGCTGCTTGTGGGTCCTGCATAAACTAGGAGTACACATTAATGAGCCGCGGCATAGTGCATCTACTACCCAAACCGTGGCACAAAGCACAGGAGGAAGTTACATGCCTTTTACTTACCTGATGGCCATTCTCTGAAGGCTGCAATATAAAATAAAAGATCAGTAAAAAATAACCAAGAACAAACAAAATACAAGAATTTTTTTGTTTGAGGTGTCATGACCTGATTGCCTAGAGTAAAACGTCCTGACATTCTTTTAGATTGTGAATTCAATAATGTCTGTTTTCGATGAATATGGTCCTCAGTTTCTAAATCAGACAATTTCTCCTTGATCCTGGAATGAGATGCAAACATAAACAACAATAAATGCATAATATGGAGTATTAACAACAACAATATGTACGATGCTCAAGCTATACCAATCTCATATGATAATCATGAAACATTCATGAACAATTCCGAATGCACAAAAACGGACAAAACATATGGCAGTTCTAATGCTGAAAAGTGCAATATATGAAAGTATTTTTAAAACAAAATATTCTTGGGTTTCAAAGAAGTGTATAATAAAAAATAAAAAGGTGAAAATATTGAAATTAGGCTGATATGTGTCTCATGGATGCATAATGGTAAAAGTTCATTTCACCAACCTTTGCATGTCCGTCTTTAACTCGATCATTTTGGACTCTGCATCCATGGCTTGCTTCAACCGCTCCTCACTAAGTTTGGTTGTTTCCTCGTAT